AAAAAAAACAAAACTAATTTTTAACAGGATGTTCTCAAATTATTTCTTGGCCTGCATTGTATTTTTACATTTTACTTGCCAGGATTTTTCCTCTTTTTCTCTTTGCAATTTTCATTAGGTTTGATTTCCAAATTTTAAGAGATGCCTTTTTGCCTCTTCTGCTCTCCATTACTCTGCTATTTAGCCGTGATGACTCTTTTGTCACCATCCTAAGTCAAATGGTACGTAGTACATTTGCACTCATTATTCAGGCATAGAACTTCTATCCATAGATGTTCTGTGGTAGTTTGATTCATTTAAGAGTTTCACCTTATTTGACTTCAACATGTAGCACTACTCCCCTTGCAGTGCAATCCACACTCTCATTCCTGTATGTTTTGTATTCTGGTATTGCAGTATCCCACTGATTATTCTCATTCCACCAAGTTTCCGTGATTTCTGTTGTATCAAAGTCCTTGCATAATGACATGCACTCTAGTCTACCCATCATAATATTTAGATTTCAGTAACATGACATGTCCTAAATTTAGTGATTTGGAGGGAGGAAGTAAATAGAAAAATAGTATAGCATATAATTAGACACCATAACATTTTAGCAAATCCTTCCTTGCCATGTATTATTTACATGTTTCTTCATAATAGGACTTTGATAAGGGATAGTGACTAAAATAATATTCACAAAGAAGATTGCAAATACCATACTGAAAAAAACAGAATGATCCCAAAATGTCCTTCAATAGAGAAGAAAATGAAAACTGATTTTTTAAGTCAATCACACAATTTTAAGATCTTTCTGCAAATTCTGATGAATTTTGCGTCCCTTGCATTGATACTTTAGTCTGCCAGTAATTGCACTGAAATCCATGGATGTTTGTAGATTACAGATACTACTTAACCTGAATAAGGGCAATAATATTTAGTGCTAAGTTTTTTTTCTTTAGAATGAAATTTTTATCTACAAATCTAACGAGCCATTTAATGTGTGTCATTAAGCACAAGCTGACTTTTTCTTTTAAAAAACATTTTAAAATTTCATGCAACAATACAATTCACAATGTTTAGTCATTTAGCGCACTCGATATGGAAAAAGTATAATATGGAGGAAAGTTGCTATGAAATTCTTAGTTACATGATTACATTTGCAACTATAACATTGCATTATATAAGTTCACAAACTGTATGGCAAAGATTCTATTTAACATTATCCTCACTTGACTGCAGCTGCCTAAGGTATGTTTGTTCCAATATTCTCATTCACCATGTCATAGTTGTGGTGCCCATGTCATTAGACGTTTAGTCATGTAAATTCCTCAAACTAGTCCTTGTACTGCTGTGTAACTATTCTCCAGTTTTCATGTCTAAATATAGGTGTTGGCCAAAATCGTATGCTTTCATATACCATGCAGTGTATCAACTGAATTACACTACATTTTGAGTGAAGGAGGCTTCCTCCATTTCTAAAACATCATTTTTGGTTATACTACTATAATGCTTGGCAGCCATAGCTGCCTATTTTAAGGCATTCATTTTTAAAAATTAACAGGATGCGAGACAGCTGCAGGTACTAGCAGTCTACAAAATGCATAATTACTAAGGGTAACTGAAGCATATGATGGTATAATTCAACAGAAAATAAACATCTGGCGTGTACTATATTTGTCATATGAGAATTTTGCACTAGGTACTTGCTGCAGCTGACAGTCATCATCCATCTGCGAAAATACTAAACAGCTCACCTTTCGTTTTCTACTTACTTTGCAAAGACAATATTGAATAGACTATGTAAACAGACCATGAACAAATTTAGGCTGGAAATTAGAAGAAAGTTTGTAACCATCAGAATGGTGAGATTCTGGAATAGAGTCCCTATAGTTTGGAGGTCAGCAAACAATTTTAAGAGGGAGCTGTACAAATTTGCATGACAAGCTTCTGCTACAAGCTGGGAGCTCATCCGTTTGGGATGGTGGGAGGTAGGGCTTAACGGCGCTAGGGCTCACTTCTTATTTATGTCTTAGGTTCCTTCAGGGTTTCAGCGCTCACCATCAAGGGGTCAGGAAGGGATCTCCTGAACCCCACTAATGTGTTCTGGGAGGGCGTTTTATGTTGTTCAGCTGAAGCCTCAGCCATTTCCATGGCTGGAATCAGGACATTGCGCAGAGGGGCTACGGCTCTGAGTTGCACCAAGCATTTTCTCTCTCAGCTATTCAAGTGTCTGATTCTTCTTCAAGTGCTTGTTCACATCAGTTCCAATCAGGTGTACATGCACTGTGTGCATGAGCATCAGAAATTTTTCCCCTTGGCAGTTCCCATAGGTCAGCTGTGGAAACCCCCGAGAGAGGTACTGCTAAATTAGCGCATATATACCACTGCTGACCCTACCCCTCCCTCAGTTCCTTCAACATCCTTGACGATGTTGGAACTTCCTAGATGTCTTGCTTAGGCAAGCTCCTAGTCTCTAGCACGTGATAGTGATTATCTCATTTTCCTTCCTAACTACGTTCTTGAAAAAGAATCAGAAGTGGTGGGCAGGTGCCTAAGTACGGTTAACCCTCCAGGACTTCAGGGCATGCTTAAAACCCCAGGGTTTAAGTCATGCTCCATGTGCTGCGCCCAACAGCGACCCGCACAATGCCTGTCTTCACTGATTAGGTGAAGAACACTGCACCAAAAAGTGTAAAATCTGCAGAGGTTTTAAGCCCAGCACAAGGAAAGACCAGGAGTATCAATTCCAACTACTCCTCATGGAGGCAGCATTAAAACCTCCCCAGGCCAAGAAAGCAGCACCAGGTACAAGCTTCATGCGCTGCGCCCCAGCCTCCATGCGCAAGACCACACTGAAAGCGGGTGCCACCAAAAACTCCCAATGCTGGAGCCTGCTGTCATCGAAGGCCAGAGGCCCTGAGGCACCGCTCAACCTCGCCGACACCACATGGTCATAAAGAGGGGAGAGACAGATTGCCCCACAAAACATGCCCCTGGCAAGACCCAGCACAGCGCAAGCAGTTCCCCATACATGAGGTCCACGATGAGAAAGGGAGGTGGGGTCAGAAGGCACTGGAGCCCAAAGCCAAGGAAACTAAAAAGATTGACCTTTTCAGTAGGAAGGTCTATTTGGCAGGGGGCCTGCAGTTGAGGATTTTCTGTCAGCAGGCAATCCTCATTTGGTTTGCTTTTTGAGGTGCTCTCAAAATAAAGATACTGCCTCCGAAAGCTCAACAGGAGTTTGGGGACTTAATAGAGGAAGGGTGCACCATAGCAAGAACCTCCTTTCAAGCGGCTTTGGATTTGGTGGACTCAGCGGCGAGAACACTTTCTACGTGAGTGGCCATGCATACATTGGTGTGGTTATAAGCCTTGGGTCTCCCTCCAGAGGTCCAGCACTCTTTTCAGGACCTCCCACTGAAGGGCAGAAGTTTGTTTTCTGAACAGATAGACTCCAAACTCCACTCCCTCAAGGATTCACAGGCAACTATGAAATCCTTGGGAATGCACAGTCCTGTTAACCACAGCACCCCGTTAGACCCCAAGTCCCTCTGAAGAGATTTGCGCCTAGACAGTGCCAAGAGAAACAATGTAGGCGCAATAGAAACAATAAGAGGAGAACCCAGACTCAGTAGCTAAACCAGGGGAATAACTCCTCAAAAGCCCCTCAAGGCCCAAAACAGGGCTTTTGAAGGTATGCCCAAGGACTGGGCACCAGTCTCACCAGATCCTTCCCCTTTGTTTTCAGCCAGATTCTCATACTTCTGCTCTGTGTGAACCAGCATTACTTCAGACCATTGGGTTCTCCACACAGTTGGAGTGGGATACTCCCTGCAATTCTCCTCCCACCTGCCTTCCTTCCCCCCTTCCTGGTCCTCTTCAGGGACCCCTCTCATGAGCATCTCCTAAGACAGGAGGTCCAATCTCTCCTCAAGTTGGGGGTGAGCCAAGAGGTTCCCCAAGGGTAAGGGGCTTGGGGTTCTACTCCCATTATTTCCTAATCCCAAAAGCAAAAGGGGGTTTAAGATCTATTCTAGACCTGAGAAACCTCAACCGCTGCATGTGGAAAATGAAGTTCCATATGGTCTCCCTGGCCACCATCATTCCGTGCCTGGATCCGGGCAATTAGTAATGCTGCCTTCAACATGAAGGGTGAATATTTCTACATATTGATTCTCCCATGTCACAGGTGCTATATCAAATCTATCTCAAACAAGCATTATCAGTTCACAGTGCATACAGAAAAGACTATTCTAAAATGCTCTGAAGTTTAACAATCTGGGGAAGAAAAAGCAGGAATTACTAATTGGGTTATAGGTTGTTTTCTAGATCATTCATTTCTGTTGGAAATTTGTATTTCTGCCTCTTTTCCCCATTTGAGTGAATGGCTGCTGTCTTTCTTTTTTCATCTTCAATTTACATAATTGCTTATATTCTTAAATAGTGCCTTACCTAAAATTTGTACTTATCATACTATTGTAAAAGTTGTATTGCCATATCGGTTTACATTTTTAAAGATTAAAATGAGCAATATATTCTTTAAAAATAATGAGCCACAGGACTACTCATTGTTTTTGAAGTTACAGATTAACATGGTATCCCTCTGAGAATATATACTTTAACCAATTCAGGGAAGTACCTCTCTGAAGTACATAATGTGCTTGGTTTTTTAGGTTAACCATATGACTTACTAGTTTATTAGCATGTAAGCTGGGAACACTGCAAATAAAGTTTTTGTTAACTCAGTGTGCTTAATGCTAGTTTTGTAAAATGTGAGCATTTGTGTTGAAGACGACATTAAGGCCTATTGATTTTAACAAAAATTACACTATATCTTTGCCATCACTCTTTTTATGCTAGAGTTGGAATATTTTCTGATTGAGTGTGTTTTGAGCCGTATTCTAATTAAAAATGGACTAAACCCCAGGAGAATTTCCTAAAGAAAGGATCAAATGTTAGTTATTCAGATAACAGATGCATTACTGTACATTAATCAGCTTCTTTGGTCTGATTGATAGAAGTGAGCTGTGTCGACAAAAACTTCATACACAAGAGCTGCTTTCTCAGCTGGAAATGGCAAATGAAAAGATCACTGAGGTAAGATAATGACCCTCATGAGTACTACTTTCAGACACAACTTGATGCACATATTATAGAATCTTACTGAACCTTATCCAGATGAATTATGTAGTTAGTTTATAAGTGCTTCTGAAGATTTTAAAATCTCTTAACTTTGCTCCTGAATCATAAAACATGAAAAAGGAGAAATCCTCTTTTATTGTTACTAATATAGAAATTGTGTGGTGATAAAGGAAATGTTATTTAAAGATCATTTAATCTAATTTACACATGCTTTTTAAAGGTGGGCACATTATATTTGTTATATAGTAGCATTCTTACCATACCATATGAGTGGTAGAGTTTACAGAGTATCTATAGGAATGAATAAAGGAAGACTCCCCCCCCTTGCATCATACAGCAAGAGTAAAGAAAGGTTTGTTTGAAGAGTGTATCTTATTAAATAATCAATTGACAGTTTTGAACATGCACATATTTGTCATTGTCTTTAGAATAAATCATTTCACTTCAAGGTTTTTTCCCTACGTACAGGAGCACTTACAGGGGAAAAAAAACATTGCTAGAAGAGGAGGCCAAAAATCAACAATTTCCACAATTGCTGTTTGGGCAAAGGATGGTCAAGGGAGACCTTCTATGTACTAGTTTTTGGTGCACAGAACAGAGGGGAAAAAACCTTGCAATTGAGAAGTCTTTATTTGTATAATCACTTGCAGCATTCTTACATTTTTGAGCATTGTTGCAGCATTCTTTCATTTTTGAGCATTGTTAATAGATTTACATCTTAATCTACATCATCACTTGCAGCATTCTTTCATTTTGAGCATTGTTAATAGATTTACATCTTAATCTACATAAGAGAAGCTATTTTTCAGGCTGTAGGTCGGTCCCTCTGTAATCCACATTTGGATACGCATATGTACCATGCACCTGAGTCTGAAATATTACTTTACAAGTAGTGTATATTGGTCTGTACATGCACCATAGCTCTATTCATTCTCCACATAAAGGATGGTATGGCTGACATCCATTTCTTCTTTCTGTTGCATAGTCTGAGTCAGAATCTTCGGTGTTGTCTGCTCCTTTATACTACATAATTGCTGTGCATATAGTTAATTGTAGTAGTTTTGTAGTTTTTATAGTATCTAGCATAGTGTAATTATATAGTGGTTTGTCCCCTTTATCCTCACCTGAAAACTTTTTACCCCTCAAGAAGTTTGAGATTATGCCCAAAATCCCGAGGGTTCAAAAACTGTTTCCTGTTCTCACTCCTTTTCTGTGTGTGACGAATATCAGTGCTACCTCTACTACCTGGGTTTAACCTGTTAATATTTTAAATAGGATTTTACATCCCTATCTGGAACCCAGAAAAATGTAGGGTATCTAAAGGCATAGGAAAGGAATTGCATCATCAAGCTTTTGGCACTCATAGCTGCTGAATTAGCTTTACTGATTTTCCAGACTTACCCAGAAACCAACCAGGTCCTGGTCTAGCCAGACAACCACAGTTCCATGCATAAGCAGTGGAGACAATGGAACGTGCAGATGTGACTCTCACTTCCTGGGCAATTCACACAAAAGAAGAGCAGAACCTAAAAGCAGACTGGCTCAACAGACACAAAGTCAGCTACTCAGGGGGATGCCTGTACCGAGAAATCTTCACTCTTATCTCACAGACATTTGGTATCCTCACAGTCAACTTGTTTTGACAATTGCAAAAGTGCAAAATAGCCAAAACTCTTTAACTAGGATGTGTATCTTGGGCCTAATGCTCTGCCCACATGTGGCCTCTAGGCCTGTTCTGAGCACTCCTCATTTTCTCTCTCCTAGGAAAAGTGAACTAAAAGATAAGGCAAGAAGAAGAAAGAGTTAGAGAACTTCAAACTGGCCAAAGAGATACTGGTTCACTGACCTAACAACCAGTGTTGCAGTTTCCAACAAGACTTGACATCTTTTTTCCATCTAGATCTATATAGTCTTCAACTGAGAGCCCATTATTGAAAGGATAGTGTTAACTGCATTCAGCTTATCTTCCAGAGCCATCTCTACTGTCATACAGAAGAATTTCAACACTGAAAATCTACTCATATGTGGACCAATTTCAGTATATGGTGCCAAGAGTGCAATACAGGTCCAAGGGATCCTGGCCACTTGACTTCTTTCATTAAGATGCATATAAGAGCCTTCAGCATAGCACTAGAGTACACCAGATATCTGCCCTGAGTACTGTTCACAGGATCATCAGGCTCCTGGGCAGAATCTATATGGTATCCAGAATGCTCAGAGCTGTCAGAACAAGTGAGACCTACTACTGGTGTTAAAAATTCTGACCACCAGTCTCTTTGAGCCAGTGACGACTTCCATTTTCTCCATGGCTACAGCACATGACTGAGAAATAATGGCATATTTTTGATGTCAGACAAACACTGAAACCATACATCAAGTGTGCACAGCTCACAAAGAGGTCAGGCTTCCTATTCATTTCTTTTAATCACAAAGTGCCAAATATTTAATGTGTCCAAACTCTCCCTTACTAGATGGATCAAACTATACAATACTGAGGCATACAAGCCATCCAGCACACCTGTTCCAGAAGGAATCAAGGCGGTCATTACAAAATCCATAGCAACCTTATGGGCAAAAAAAGTGTGCCCTTCCACTGCACAGATCTGCAAAGCAGCTATGTGATCATCAGCTAACTCCTTTATCAAACACTATACAGCAGACATTCAGTCTCTGCAGATGCCTCTTTTGACACAAAGATGCTGCAGGTGGTAGTCCAGATATAGCCTGGCCATTTGAGAATTTCAGAAAAATTCCTTTCCTGTTTCTTATGTTCACTTTTCTGATGCTTCCCTTCTTAAGCTTAATGTCCATTCACTGCTAGCTACATCCTACATGTGTATGAGAATTGTGATGGACACTAACCTGAAGAATGGAAAATTGCTTATCCACTAATTTCCTTTCTGCTATGAGTAGTATCTACAGGTCTATCCAGCCTAGTTACTTTAACAGTTAAGGTTCAATATTTTATTTGCGTAGTTACCACGGTGGCCTACTGAACATAATTAATTAGTTGCCACCAATGTCATTGTTACAAAGCATTGTCTGAGCATTTTTCCCCCACAGCTTTGGAGTGAATCAGCCCTTCTGATTGGTACCGGATATCAGAGGCTGGGCTGCTGCTATGAACCTCCTCTGGAAATTGCAGATGGGGGTGGGAGAGGCATGGAACAGATCAGACACATAAAAATTGTGAAAGATCCTATGAGCAGAAAGGAAATTATCAAGTAAGAAATTTTCAAATTTTCCAAAAATGCCAACTTTCATGAGATGTCTAAGCGACAGATATTTACATTAATGTAACTTGCTTTGAAGTCTACTTTGTATAGAAAATGTGTACAATGAAAAATGTAGAAAAAGATTTTTGCTTTTATATAATGTTTGCAAGCTGGAAATTATTCAGAATCACAAGTGTTTTTAATTTCCTGTCTTGTAGATGTAAAATAGTTTCAATATTTGTCATTGACGAATCTCCTTTTGCTCCCAGTTTTCTCACTGGAACGTACATGAAACTTATAGTTGTAATAACATCTTTCACTTATACAGAATGAAAAACTAATGATGGAGCATCAAGAAAAAGTCAACCGACTTCAAAGGCGACTAACACAGGCAGAACAGAGAGCAGCTACAGCATCTCAACAGGTACAAAACTGTAATCGGACAACAATCTTATTACAACTGCAAAACAAGAGGTCTTGCATGTTACAAGAAAAATGTTATTTTGGAATCTCCCTAGAGTAGATGTAATTGTTTTATTATTAAATAGTAAAGTAGCTGATTCAAACAATTACACAGTTCTTATTTGGCAAAATATGTCACTTCAGAGCTAAAATATATTTAACCAAACTCCAAACCCTGTTCTGACAGTTCGGAGTTAGTGGATTCCTTACTGGAGCATGTTACTGCAAATCTAATGTTTTCATGTAGTATGTTTGTGGAAATAAACAGAATTCACATCTAATGTATGTTCTCTTCATATTAATGAAAGCATGTGAGTTTTTAATAATCCTTTGCAATACAAGAAGGAGCTTACTTAAATCTGTACAAAAGTGAATCAAGATCAGAATGAGGGAATACCTGTTTCAGCACCTGTACCACTGATTACATAGCATAGCTGATCCAGCCCACTTGCAAATTGACTAATAAGGTTGTATTAATTAAAACTTATGGCTCCATAGTAATATAATGCAAATGCTATGCTAGCTTCCACAGATTGGTACCTGTATAATCTTATTCTTATTCAGAAGACAAAAATGTTTTCATTTCATAGCCATAGAACGCTATCTGGGCTTTTTTAGGCAGTTGAACCTAATTTAAGACAGAGACAGTTGTGAGTCAGTAGTTTCTAGGGCCCAACTAGATGACAGATGTTTTAGCTTCATAGTGTAAAAAGATTTGGAATATCTGAAGAAAGGGAAAATTTTAATTTTTATGTCTGCTCAGTTTTATCATATACCCTCTTACCTGTCAGTCTCCCTCTACAAAAGAAAATAAAAAAGAAGTTTGTATAGCTTGTTCCCTTAGCTGTTGCCTCAAACCTCAAAGATTGGCATTTTAATAATGGTGTGTGTGTGTGTGTATAAAGTAGCAGGTGTAGCAATTTGGGATGAAACACACCATCCACAAAATGTAATATTTCTTTTATATAGCCAATGATTGGTTTTTTTTTTTAATAGTCTAATTGGCATAAAGTAGGGGGTGCAACACTGAAAAATCATTACTGAAATGCAATCCTTTAGAGACACATTACAATATTCTGCATGGTTCATGCATTTTATTTTAGGACAGCACCACTTCTATTGCCCCATCATTAGTCATTCAAAACTCCTTTTTATGTGAAATACGGTCATTTGTTAAGATTTCAGTGGAATAGTGAAACTATTGCCTGTTTGTTTTTAATTACAGCTCAATGTGATTACTGTGCAGAGGAAAAAAGCTGCCTCCATGGTGAATCTAGAACATATTTAAAAAAATATGCGTTGCCTATTCACACCACATAAGAACTGGAAAATCTGTCAGAAAAACAGTATTGGAGTGTTAAACCTATAGCACACCGCTAGACTTGTGTAATTTGCATAATCATTTTCCTTTCTGTTAGCACGGGGCAATAAATACAGGAATGAGAGTCTGCAAAATAATGTAATGAGCTCAAATGTAGAATGAAGCCCACCTTCGTCAGGGTAAAATTATATAAACTACTGTATATACTATGGGGGGGTTGTGATTTACTGGCAATCATGACATAGATACCAATCTGCTGGCAGTTATAAACACCTTTACTCTATATGTACAACTGATTTGTTTAAATACATTTTGTATAATATTTTGTTAATGTACACGTGCAATACAATAAACTATGAACTTTCTAAACAGATTGTGTGCATAGGAGGGAATGGGCTACTTCCTCTTTTGTGAATGAAACTGAGAAACTGGTTAGGTCTTAATTCTTAAATAGTGGGTATGTATGGTAATTTTGCACACATCTGTCCTGAGTCTCCCTGTTGCAGTACAACATTTATTTTGTTTTTCAGTTTGTTTCCTGTGTGACATCCATGGAAAATAGTAAAACGCAAATACTGATCTGGTCTCTGGTACACCTAGGCTCATCCCAGCTATATTCTTACTCCAAATGCTAATTCTGTGCAGTTATTCTGAAAAAGGCTTTTGAAAGAAATTAGTATATTAGACTCTTAACTGTTTTTTCTTTAAGTATATATAACACTGGAAAATTCATTTTGACAGATCTTGAAAGTCCATCGTTGTCTGAAGTAAGTGATTCTAATTTCTTCTGAATATTTTCACAATGCTGTGTATTTCCTCTCCCTCCCCACAAGATATTTACAATATGAAGAAAAACACAACTTATATTACATTTATCTGGACTGATAATTCACTCATGGTTACCTGAAAATGTCCTTTCTTTGAATAACACAGAAGTCTTACAGTGGGTCTTCACCCTGCTTACACCTTTGGAGGCAGAATCAGCCACTGGCAGGTAGGAGTGTGTCTTGCCCCCTGAAGAATCAGTCAGTTAAGACAACTTCCATAGCCAAGGATAATTCTCTTCATTTAATAATCTAAGAAAAAAAACTCTTAAAGGATAACTGTTTTTGTCTCCTCCTGCACAGCATACTTTATAAATAATCACTTCCTCAGTTTAGTGTATCCTAATGCTGAACCCAGTTTATACCAGAATACTCTGCCAGAGGAGCACTGGCTCTGTGATTCTATTACTCAGATAAGCTTGGATCCACATCCCTGCTTCTCCTTGTACCCTATTCACTGCCATATAACTGCAGTTAATCTTTGTTCCCAAAAAATAAGCAAGGCTTGCAGCATGCCACAAAGATAACTGAAAGCAAAACACTAAGCCAAGCAGAATGTGCTTTTGAAATCCCCTGGCTCCTCATGGAGAGTACCTCACTTGCTGTTTCTTCGCATTTAAACGAAGGAGCCTGAGCATCACAGCTGATCTCCTCAGATAGTTAGCCTTTACTAAATATGCAGATTTACAGTATCTGCTTTTTTAATCTTCTAAAGCTTCTGCCCTTGTCATGTCACACTGCTACATTTCATATCTTGAGTTCCTAAAAGCCCATCTTCATACAAGAGAAAAGCCTCCTGTTTTCTTGTATCACTCTGATATTATTAGCACAATCACGAATAGATAACTATAATTGAAAGTATTATCTAAAATCAAAGGAATAACTTATTTATCCAGGAACAAGCACTTTCTATTTGGTTCTAGTAAATTAAAGATGATTTAATAAAATGTTTAGTTTCCACAGATGATGACCAATAAATCCAGACTAGAGAATGACTCAACACTAGTTCAGCCATTTCTCATTGGTGCTGAGGCCAGCATGGCTCAAGAAGGGGTGATTTCTCATGCTCAAATTACAGCCTGTGTACATCATGAATCAAGAGGTAAAATTATTGCCACTTCTATGCACATTTTGCCTTGAGGCTTTGTACTGGTGATATCTTGGAATGTGTAAAATAACTTACATTTATGAGGTATGAAGATAGACTAGAGGCAACTAATACAAACCAAAAATGTCTGGGTTGATACTGCTGTTCAAACTGCAAGAATCTCCAGCTTTCAGTTCAAAATGGCATGTTGATTACAGATGTTTTATTATTGAAGAAATTTGTTACCACATCCTCACAACCTTGCCTTTGAGAAGCTCTAGCACACCATGCAGGAATTTGAATTTTAGTAGATAATAGCCTTTGTGTCAGGCATGTGCCTTTCCCTTGAAATTTGACTAAAGTATAAGCCAGGCTCAGATACTTGCCAAAACAGTTTAATTTTCAGAAAATTCCTTCTTCCCTAAGCATGATTTTCCCTGCAATTGCAGTTTCTAGATACCCTGGTCTATATGGGGTCCAGGCATTGGAGCTGAGAGCAGTTGTATGCTCTGCATGGACCTTCTCTAGGTATTAAATGGTTGTGTTCTAGAGGAGGCAATTGGCTGTAGAATAGTCAGAAGGTGTGTATATATAGTGAATGCAGCAATGGATTGCAGGCAGGGCCGGATTGGGGGGGGAGCTAGCCGGGCAGCTGCCTGAGCCGCTAACCTATGGGGAGGCACCTCATTGAAGTGTTAAGGGGTGCCATGCGCCCGCTGCCCAGGGCACAACGATGGCTCGGTCCAGCACTGATTGCAGGAACAGAAAGCATGATCCCATGTTTATGATAAAAGCTGCCCTGGGGAACTAAAGTCTTGTACACTTTTCACAGGTGGTTACAAAGGGTATGTCTACACTGTAATTTAACACCCATGGCTGTCCTGGCTTGGTTGCATCTTCTTTGAACTCTGAAAAAGAGGCCTGTCTCTCTCTCATTAGGTACCCAAAATTAGTGGATTTTTTTACCTTAATTTTTCTCTTTGCCTCAGTTCTCCCATTACAAAATGAGGATAATATCTCCATTTCACAGGCTTGCTTTGAAAATAATAAAATCATCAGTGTTTGAGAAACAAATTTACTATCAGTGATGAACACCAGAGGAGGTCTGTGAGAAAATTAATAAATTTTGTCTTCAAGAATAGAGTGTGAAATAAATAAGGTATGGGACTACCCTTTGAACAAAATATTGAATTAGTTGCTCATAAAGTGAACATGATCCAGTCGGTGCATTGAATGAGGTACAGATTTTAGGGAAAAAATAGTATGTGATTGATAGAAGGTTGATTCTGAATGCATTTATACAAGGGAGGTTAATTAAAGTTGCATAAGCAACCTTAATTCTGGAGTTTCTTAACCTTTTAATGCTTGATTTTGCAACCTTAATGTGCTTTTAACATAATGTTGTGTGTAATAATACTCATTTTTAAAATCATTTTGCAGACACTGAACTAAATGAATATATAAGTGCAGTCCTAGTCTAATATGCCAGCTCTCAGCTCCATTAGAGTGCAAACAAGTGTTATTGTGTAACACTAAGGTGGTACTGTGAAACATTCCAGTTGAGGATGCAAAGTAAAGGTGAATATGCAATTTTCTCCTGTTCCATGAGCAAATGTCTTATGCTACTGTCTTTAATTATATGACCACTTATAATTTCCCATTTTCCCCCTAGAATCTTAGACTATTTTGTGAATCTTTGATTCCTGTAATGCAATCCAAATTGAAAGCATTTTTTATAATGCATACACCTAAGCAGTTAAAATTAAGGTTGCACAATATGAAGAGTTCAACTGTGATTGGCATTGTATAAGACAAAGATGAAGTCTCAGAGCTTAAAATCTCTTAACATTCAAATTTAACATTGCCTCAGTGTATTTAGGAGATAAGGCTATTCCTGCACATTCATCTTTGGAATTTCTTTATTATAATCATTGAAGAGGTGTGCACTAGAGACTGTTTAATTCCTTTTAAGCTGTTGTACTTGTTTTTCTGATATAGGCTGTTGTGGCGTCATAAGTCCAGGTCTCTACCTTGGATGCTGGGCAATTATGATTGCAATGAACAGCCTCTAACAAACCTGAAAACTAGAAGCCTGTTGGAACATACAGTACATATGGTACTGTCACATTACATAAATGATTTGGTAAACTTGCCACTGTTCTAGTAAGAAATCACGGATGCCATGTTCCACATATTTAGTAGTATGCTGGAAAAACGGAAAGAGGTCTGTTTCTTTACATTTATAATACAATTGTATTTCTGCATTCTGTAGATTTTTTGGATGACAATTTTAACCAGAACTGTCAAACTTTTATGAAGGTTTCTATTTGCCTAGCACTTGTTCCATAGGACAAACTAAGATGATTTAAAATTCAAAGTACAGTTTTGGACAGCAAATATTTCAAAATTACTATTAAAAAAAGAATCCATAAAAGAGAATCTGGTAAGTGGATACTCAGTCTTAGGGGCTTACTGTGGGCCAGTAATAACACTACTGAACAAATAAACATAGGTAGTTCCACTGATTTCTAATAACATTACTTGTTTATACGAAATTGTTCACCAATGAGTACTCTGGACTTTTAATGATTAAAATAATGTTTTACTACTGTAAGCACACCAGAGCTAATACATAGAAGAATGAGTTATATCTTGGTCTCATGTGCACCTCAGTCGCCTTCCAGTTTCAAAAACTTTTGACTACTAATACTATGAAAAAGAAAGAAAATATGGCAGGCACTGAGTAAATATTACACTCATATCACTGTAGATACATGTAATATTTATCACTGATAAGCTACATATGACTGGGCATCAAACATGACTTACAGTTGGTCACAATGCCCAAACACAAATGTGCTTAATTTTAGCACAAGCTTACTGTAAGAAAACAGCCTATATGCTTTAAGTTAAGCATATGCCTGTACTTGCAGAATGTTTATTTTACCTTTGCTTAGATATCATGGCAATGAGAGCAGTATATAAACCTGAACAGATCAGAAAAAAGTGAAGATTTTAAAATTTAACACTGCCAGTCTGTTGCAAAATGTACAGCATTTATTCACATACAGACAAAAAGGCACAATTCTACTAAATATTTTAACAAAAAATACAGCTGTCTTCAACTAGATCTTTATAAATACTTCAGAAAAGAGGGAAAATAAATACAGGATTGGGCCAAGTAATATAAAATAGTCATCTCTACATATACTTTATCTCTGATTCTATGTTTCTCTTCATGCACCTTTTTTAATTTTAGCTGAATAGACACCAAAGCTAGGCACATAGTGAAAACTTTTCTGTACAAGATTTTACAAATGTAATGACAATTTTTTTTCAAATTTTTAAAATAATTAAGATTTGCACACATGACATGAATAAACCCTTCATTTTAGATTTGTGTTTATACCCTAGCAAATGGCATTCCAGGCAACTTTACAGAAGTTTAACTAGCCTACATTTTGACATAATACACGAATCATAATCAAAGAGATTGCTTGGTCAGTCTGCACAGGGAAAGGTAAAGCTTTAAAAAAAAAAAAAATCAATGAATGGTTCCCTACCACTAAAGCACAAAGGGTGGGTTTCAGTTGTTACTTCTATACTTATGACTCCTTTCTTGCTGAGTGCTAAGCCTGGCATAAAACTAACTTTTACAGCTGGTCATACTGCAATTAGCTTGCCTTGTAGCTTTTTTGTAATTAGGAGATTGGGAAAAGCGCTTTTTTATTTGGTTCAGCATAATGTGGAACATTAGAAAGCTTATTAACCTAAACATGTGGGGAATAAAACAGATAAGGCATTATATCTGCACAATGCTAGCATTCATAATAGTGCAAATGAATTGGGTACCTCTTTCAAACTGATGTGAGGTTAAATGTTTGCTTAGACTCAAATTTAATTTTTTTTCATTCTATGGCTTGACAAACAATTCCCTATAGCATAACCTCTTTATAGTAATTAACTTAGCCCTCATCTAGATATGTTGCTGAATATAAAAGTGAAATCAACTGTACTTCCCTCTTCTCCCATATCCAATAAAAAAGTCTTTTTTAATTAAACAAGAACTTTAATATTTTAGGTCATGTCAAAAGTGAATCTCTATATGAGTCAGATCCACCATTCCTCATTTGATATGTGCAACAAATTAATCTGGCTAACAAAGTCATGAGATGAATCTGGTTTCTTGGGAGCAGCACAGTTTAAGTAGGTATCTTTCCAATACACATATTTCCCCTTCCCAAGATTATTCCACTAATTATCAAAATGTTATGTCTAATTTAGTTTAAAAAAAAGAACAAATGATAGGGAAGCATTTGTTTGAAGTTTTTAATTATTTGATAACTTGCATAGCAAGATGGAACATCAATTAGCCTATTTTGTCAACTGGGTCCTCTGGAAGACTTAAAGTTAACAGCAAAATTTCAATTTTTTTTCTTTCCCTGCCCTAATGAGAAGGGGTAAAATGTATTATGTAATTGAATACTGATAGCAATAGACTGGGGGAAAGAAAAAGGGATTCTTCCATATGCCCATATTTCTAAATTCATTACTGCTTAAACTTTTTAAACTCAGCTATTTCATGCTTGCCTTACACTGATGCAAAAATTTTACACTGTTGTAACCATCCATTGTTATGTGTATGCACTCTATTCAGAGCACAGTCCTATGTACTGATTATGTTATTGCTGATAACTTACTAGTTATTGCCATTTGCAGTTATTAAAAATAGTTATGTAATCAGACTGAGTGTCCCCTCATCAATTCTAGTTAAGTAATCAGACTGAGCGCCCCACCCCCATCAAATCTAGTCCACAACAGAATGAAATCACTTTATCTCGATTTGAATGCAAAGAGCTTGTCCCAACTTATTGCCTTTCCTTTTTATTCTATTTAAAAATGTATGTATGTGTGTGTGTCATATATATATTTGACTTCTTTTATATAAGTAATGCTGTAGTGTCAGATGCCTGGATTTCCTAATACATACCATTAGTGCATAAGTGGTTGGCACTGGGAAATCGTGCTGATTAGTGCCTTCAAGTTAGTGACTTATTACCCAGTTGATTTATCATTGTATTCCTGGAGGGCATGTGATTGGATAATGCTAAAGCTGCTTTTTGAATTTTTCCACAGAATACAGTAGACCATAAATTTGTCCCTCAAACTGGACAAATGGCTTCAAAATGTATTCCTTCCTCAAAACTGAAGAGCTTAGGAGTATGACTGGGTCTTTTCGTGCTGTGACTGTTGCATCACTAGGCAGCTGCAGTTCTGACCTGTTCCCTTCATTTTTTCCAGTAATTACGGTTAAAAGTGATGTATTTACATGTAAACTCTCTGGAGTTAGGGAAGATTTAAAGCTGCCATGTATACTGAATTCTAATGCAACAGAAACATTCTGCAGGCAAATATGATTTAAATAACTGCCACAATCCAAGAAAAGTAAGCATTTGTAATGGGTTTAGTGATGCTGGATGGTTAAATAACCCTATTGGATATAGTATACACTAGTTAAATTAACTGCTTGTGCTTTTGGGGATGGGGGGCCGAAAGAGGGGAAAAAACTGGCCAGTGCTGTTCTGCTCAAGAGACGGATGCAACCTCTCTTCTTTCCCGCCCTCCCCGCCCCCCCCCAATTTTAACTATTTTAGTGTTCCACCAACAATTGCATTTTAATAGTAATCTTCTGTTTCCTCAATAAAGTTGCAAATCAAAAAAAGGTTCGTTTTCTCACAGAAGTAGATTATAAGGACTCAAAGGCAGGGGACAAAATCATAGTCGTAAGTGCAAGTAAACATGTTTATACAGCTCAGAGATAACGGGTTAGCTCTTTGTCAATCTGTAGCCATGTCTAAAACCCTAGCCTCTCCTCCTCACACCAAAAATGCAGAGTGGGCTTGCAGGTAGTGCTTTCTATTGACCATGGTGCTGAAGATTTATCTTACTGTCCAGTCAGGAAGCAAGGATACTTCTCCTAATAATGTCTGTCCTCCTGTTGATAGTGCTGTTTGGACTAAGCCTTTGCTGTCTGCATTTTTTCTCAGCCACTTCAGTTTCTGAATCACTCATTTCAGCATCAGGGACGTACCCATCATTCTCACTGTCTGTTTTTAGTTTGCTTTTTGCCCTGTCTTTAGGTAAAACTCTGCCCAGGCCCAAATATGGATAATTAGCATTCTGGTGGCAGGTCTCCTGCTGGATCTCTCCTTGGTGTTGTCTCTCCCCCTTCTTTGGAATTCGGAATCCGCCCCAGTTTTTCACTGGACTTGTGGGCGTAGTAGGCACTTTAACTGCAGTCTGGTTATAGTTTATTTTGATGAGAGATCCATTGCATTTAGGCACTATATCCCTCCGTGTGCCAGGTGCTGACCTACCACTTGGATGGTTCACAGCCCTTTTGTTTTCTGATTGCCTCTGAGACGCTTCTGTGGATGTCAGTGGCTTGTGGCTGTGCTTCGAAAGCTTTTCCTTCAGTTCTGCCTTGATTACTTCGCAAGGGGAATGATTGTCTCTTCTTTTCCTGTGTTCTGGCATAACTATCCCATTTCTCTGTTGTGCTGATACAATTCGTGCTTCTGCAAAGGCCTTTTCAAAATGTAGAAAGCTACCTGGAGTCACAACACCTTCCCTTCGGCTGGACTGCTTGAGCAGGGACTTACTGACACTCCCAGGGCTGTTCCTTACTCTGTCTCTCTTGTGTGATTTTTTCAATGAGTGTGTCAGAGAAGTGCCCATTTGCTTCCTGAAGAAAGCAGAATGCCACTTCAAATCCTCTATCTTAGGAGCATCAGGACCTAAAGGTGGACTGTTGAACAACACCATGTTTTCTACTGAGGAAAAAGAGAAAGGCACACCTAAAAACACAAACACAGAAATTATTTTACAATGCAGCCAAAGCAAATTCCTTCCCTGATATAACAACTTCTGCTTTTTACCTCAAGTATCCTCTTTTGAGTGTTTCTTTCCTGTCTTCAACTTATTTTAATTATGCTGGAGCATAACCAGCATTCAGTGGCTTTCATAACATCCAACATTTGACAGCAATCAGTAACTCTTCTACTCATCATAGGTCTACTTATACTTAGATGTAATTTCCATATCACTATAGGTACTATAGCTAATGTAGATTTCAGATTTTAAGGCCAGAAGGGGCTGTGGTGGTTATTTAGTTTTATCTCCTGGATAACACCAGGCCCAAGGACTTCCCTGAATTAATTACTGCTTCAAGTGCTGAAATTGCTTTCACTAGAATATATTTTACAGACAAACATCCAGTCTTGATTAAATTCTCTAGAAAAAGACTCTTCATTTAATGGACAAAATACCACATATGTTGTTGTCATCCATTGTGCATCTGACCAATGATTAAACCTTAAGAATAATCTACTTAATCTTTTCAGACTTCCCTGAATTAATTACTGCTTCAAGTGCTGAAATTGCTTTCACTAGAATATATTTTACAGACAAACATCCAGTCTTGATTAAATTCTCTAGAAAAAGACTCTTCATTTAATGGACAAAATACCACATATGTTGTTGTCATCCATTGTGCATCTGACCAATGATTAAACCTTAAGAATAATCTACTTAATCTTTTCAGTGTAGCATTTTACTGCTGAAGAAGCTACCTTTTTTAGTAAGCTGTAAATAGGTTGGGAATGATTTTTTTTTTTTTACAGCAGTTTGCTTCCCATTAGAATTCATGCCTTTTAAAACCACTGACTTTCAGTCATTCAGAAGATCTGTTGGTCAATTCAGGTTCTGACTATTCCTGTAAGTCTCTTTTGGAGTAATAGATATCTGCCCTTCCTTGGCAGATCACGATATGTTTGGTTTACACAGAATGTGCTGAAATGGCGATAGATTTGCAATGCTTCCAGCAAGGGCCCAAAAGATGAGTTTATCCTGATGATGTTTTACAAAGGTTTTAGTTCAGGAAGAACAGAAAGTGAAACATCTAACAGGCAAATGAACAAGGACGTAATTTTTCTACTAAATATATGCATTTTATTTAAACTGAGGAATGAATACCAATACAGTCAGTCCCAGAGTTACGCGGATCCGACTTATGTCGGATCCGCAGTTACGAACGGGGTTTGCTCCCTGTCTCCCTGGTCTGCTGGTCACCAGCAGACCAGGGAGATGCGGGCGGCAGACCGAGACGCACCGCGGTCCTGCCGCCTGGCTTCTCCGCGGCTTTGCTCCCCGTCTCCCTGGTCTGCTGGGGGGGGAGGGCGCAGCTAGTACGCCCTCTCCCCCCTCCCAGCAGACCAGGCTTTTCTCTGGATGCCTGTGGCAGAGCAGCTGGAGCGCTGCTGGTTGGTCCCGCAGTGCCGCTCTGGGCGCTACTGGACCAACCCCAACTGCTCTGCCCCAGGCATCCTGATTGTTGTTTAAATACTTGTCTCAAATATGAGAAAATACTAAATCTACAAATAGTGCCAGGGAAGGGGGAGTGAAGCTCACACCACAGTAAGTATTGTTAAAAGTACTAAGAAAAACGGGGACAAAACACATAATCAAGTTACAGTGATCTTGTAT